CTCCGTCATCAGACGAAGGGCACAGGGGAGCAATTTCAGGCTCTACATATAACTACTGATCCAACTTGTTATTCCCAGGCTATAAGGCATCCACAATGGCGTGAAGCCATGGATCAGGAGTTTAATGCGCTCCTTCACAACAGCACTTGGCGTCTGGTTGCTCCCGAACCCCACATGAATGTAATCGGCTGCAAATGGGTGTTTCGCACCAAGCGCGCCGCTGATGGCTCAGTCGAGCGCTACAAAGCTCGTCTGGTAGCCAAGGGATTCAACCAGGTTGCAGGCGAGGATTTCGTTGACACTTACAGTCCTGTAGTCAAACCGACTACTGTCCGGCTCCTGTTCTCTCTTGCCATCTCTTCTAACTGGACGATGCGTCAGTTAGATGTCCATAATGCTTTTCTAAATGGACACTTAGCCGAGACTGTTTACATGAAGCAGCCGCCTGGCTATGAAGATCCGACACACCCGGATCACGTCTGCCACTTGCAGCGCTCTCTTTATGGGTTAAAACAGGCCCCACGGGCCTGGTTTAAGAGGCTTCACGACTTCTTTATTCTTGCAGGGTTTCAATTATCCAAAACTGATGTCTCACTCTTTCACTACACGACGGGTTCATCACGGGTGTTTTTACTTGTTTACGTCGATGACATCATCATGATGGGGAACGATGCTGTGCTCATTAACACCTTGTTGCAAAAGCTTGCCACCACCTTTAAAATTCGTGATCTTGGAAAGCCGGGGTTCTTCTTGGGGATTGAAACCATTTCGGCTGAAGGCAGTTTAATTTTGTCGCAGAGGCGATATATGACAGATCTTCTCAACCGAGCCGGGATGCTAGATTGTAAACCCCTTACTACACCTGCCGCTGTCTCGTCACCAGCGGTTCCTACAACGACCCCGCATGAAAATCCGACGCAGTACAGACGCATTGTTGGGGCTCTACAGTATTTAACGATCACAAGGCCAGACTTATCTTATTCAGTCAACCGTCTATGCCAGTTTATGCATACTCCAACAGATGAACATGGAGTTTGGCTAAACGAGTGTTGCGCTACATCAAGGGTACTATCAGCTACGGGTTACGTATAGCTCCTTCCACGTCCACGACTATCCAGGCTTTCTCAGACTCAGACTGGGCTGGTTGCCCGATCGACAGGAAGAGCACAAGCGGCTATGCCGTTTTTCTCGGTACCAACCTGATTTCATGGCTCTCCAGGAAACAACGAACAGTGGCACGATCATCCACAGAAGCAGAGTATAAAGCACTGGCCGATGTCTCTGCAGAAGTTACTTGGGTGGTCTCGTTACTCCGGGAACTCGGGCTACACTCCTCTCAGCCAGCCACTCTCTGGTGCGACAATCTTGGCGCTACCTATCTATGCGCAAATCCGGTTTTCCATGCCCGGACGAAACACGTTGAGATTGACTATCATTTCGTCCGTGACAAGGTCGCCTCAGGAGACTTCGTCGTTAACTATGTTTCAACCAGAGATCAGCTCGCAGACATCTTCACCAAGCCACTCACAGGGCCCAGATTCACGCTTCTTCGAGGCAAGCTCAATGTTGTTGCGCACCAACCTTGAACTTGAGGGGGTGTGTTAGTGAGTGTTATTATTTTCTATAGTATATAGTTGTTTTATGTGGTTCAGGTTTAATTGACTTAGGATTCTCTATTAGACAGGAGAGTCTTACGTTAATTATCTTTTAATACTTTGTAATCGCTTCTGTTACAACTAATGAATGAAATCTGAATTCTAATCCACCTGGTTACATATATGGACAACATGATCTTCAGGCACACTTTGCGCGAAGGAAATAAATGTGCTGACCACCTGGCTAACCTTGGCCAATCTGCGAGTTGGAGGACAACGTGGCTTGGTCACGCACCGCCTAGTCTTAACTATCTGCTGAAAGCTGACGCCTTTGGAGCAAGCTCCGCAAGAGTTTGGTAGTCTCTAGGTTTCCTTTCCCGTAGGCAAAAAAAAAAAAAAAAATTACTTATCGTATCCTAATTTAACAACCTTGTCCTCCAAATATAGATTCTAAAAGAGCCATTAACGCCTCTACTGAAGCTTGAACTCACAATCTTCCAAATAAAAATTCAATCCGGATACCATTAGATCACATAGTCTTGATAACCCCTGAAGATCTAAGCCAACCTAATCACTCATACCGGCCAACATCCTTTTAACCAGCCTATTACCCTCATCATCAATACATTTGACTTAAATTTAATCGAATACTTAATTGGACCAATTCTTAACGATAAAAGTATCTGATTGCAAAAATATATTAAACTCATCTCGACATAATACAATCCATCATAAATTGCATCTATACCAAGGGCCACAAAACCAGCGGTGGTTAATCACATTTTCCACAAAATTGTGCTCCAAACTTTGAAATGCATTTAATTTGCATAAGAAAATTCTGATTTGAAACAAGTTGACTAGTAATTAGTGATCCACTAACGTTTCATGCATATTCTCGTTGCCTACACATATTCAAAGAATCAAAGCTGTTCTTTCATCTTCACGTATTCATTGGTTCGAATAGAACTACGTAGTATTTTTTGAGTGGTCCACGATAATACACCACATATCTTTTCAACTGCAAGTTGCAAGGCGTACAGCTGAGGCCAGGGAGGAATTTTAAAAGTCAAACTTGCGTTTTTTTTTTTTTTTTTTTTTTTTTTTTTTAAATTGAGAAAAGGGGATTACATTTATTTTTGGTAAATCTCATAATACTCCCACTACTTGTTTGTGTTGACCTATGGTAGGCGTACGTGTGAACTCATTTGACATAAATATTATTAAGAAAATAAATATATTTTAGTCCCTCAATTATCCTTTATATTCGTGATTTTAGTTCATCAATTATTCTATCTATTAGTAATTTTAGTTCTTAAATTTTTATTGTTATGATATATTCATTAACTTTTCAGAAAAAATAAATTATTGTTTTGGTCCATAGAGCAATCAAATTGTTAAATTCTGTTAATATTTTACTTAATTAATACATGGTATTTTAGTGATTTTTTGTTAGATATTGATTTGCAGGGCAAAGTCCAGCACACATTCTGCCATAGTGCTATTAAAACATGACGCTTACTGCTACGCTAGTATAATGACATAAAAAGTTAATTGCGCTTTCACTACAAGTTATGACAATTGAAATAGTAGTGATAAGTGTTTGATCTAGCTAACATTTTTTAATGTTTATTTCTTTATTCATTAATTAACCTATATATTCAACCTTGATATTTCATATGTAAAGTAAAGAACTTGATTTTAACAAGTTTATGTATGGAAGAAGGTTGTCAATTTTCTATTTTATAAATAAAATATTGAATTTGAGAGACTATAATTAAAAAAAAAAAAAGATAATAAATTACAAAAGTACTAATATACTAAGTAAACTCTAATGTAGTTTAATGGTTTTGAAAAGTTAATTGGTATATAGTGTAAAAGTTAGGGACTAAAATGACTAGTAGAGAATAATTGAAGGGTTAATCATGCAATTTGTTCTAATTACTATTGTAACGATATAATTGTGGAATAAAACTTAGCTTGATTTTGAATGCTACTGACTTATAAACTACTTTCTTAACCAATTGAAGCACAAAGAGTGCATGCCACCTCCACTAAGGCTCGAATCCACTCCCTTCTATATGGGAGTGCAACCCGAGCGCCTTTAGACCACAAGGTCTTGGCTTAGCTTGATTTTATTAATTTGTATAAAATACTTTGCCCTTAAAGAGAGTACTTTGTCTTAATGTATTTAGGAATGTTGAAATTATTTTAATTGAAATATAATAACCATCATATGCCTTTCACACATATAGACCAAAAACTGGTGACACGTCCCGCTACCAACTCTTTTTTTTTTTTCTTCTCGCGTACATTTCTTCACTCTGTTCCTTTTTTTGGTACATCTGAAACCCTCAAAAGAGAGCGTTATCTAACACAGAGGTTAGGCACGTTTCTTCACTCTTTAGTATCATGTAATACCCACGTCATTAGCTTGTCTTAACCAACCATCTAACGAACTCCAATGCTTAATCGGCTACCATTTGACCACTTTGGCCATCCCCACACCCTAACTAACTGCACTCTCCCATCGAATGTACATTGTCCTAGGAACAGAAATAGATATTCCCCTTATAGGGAGAATTGCTCATATCGAAACAATGTTCATAGAAATACAAGTTCTTACCAAACAAAGGAATATGATTATTATTGTGAATGTTATTTTATTTTAGGCCTATTCCGCGAACTAAACATGTCATTATATTAGTGTTAATGCAATTAAAAACATTTCATGAACCTCTACACAACCTACTATCCTATTATGTGGAAAAATGAAAAACTTATAAAAACTTTGACAAGCTAAGTCTCACTGATCAGTAAGAGAATTTGCCATAGAAAAATTATGGTTGGTGTTTTCGTATGTATTTTGTGAGTGATAGGGAGTATATATAAGAGTATAACCCTTTAAAATTATAAAATAGTGGGACCTAATAAATACATAATTGTATTAGCCTAATAAACAAAAGGCATCGAAGCTGCTAACCCCAGTCCCCAGCGCAGAAAAAAGCAGACCAAGTCGATATGGCGATTGGCTCATCGCCCCGAAACAACGTTGTCTCAGTCAGTAGTTGTCGACGACCAAACCCCATCCGCTACAAAACGAGTTAGAGAGAGAAACAGCACATGTGTTTTTTTGCAGTGAGAGAAAGCCAAAAGGTCACAATAATATATAATTATTCAAATATTATTATTATTTCCTTCCGTGTCCATACACATATTGCACACACAGTAGACTGGGTTTCTTGGAGCTACCCTTTCTCGAGCTCTTAAACTTAAATTTATTTCCTCTTTTGAAAAGTCTCACCTCCCATCCCTACTCTATCTCCGTGTTTTGACTTTGACAATCTTATCACTTATCCCCCTCTCTCTATATATATAACCCAACCCACCATTCTCCTTCTTCATTCAAATTAAACCACATTAAAGCTTTCAAGATTGCATCTTTCCTTCAGTGAAGAAAAGGGTTTTTACAACTTTTTGGATTAGATGGAAGAGATTCAAGTTCCTCCTTATTTTCTTTGTCCGATTTCGCTGGAGATCATGAAGGATCCGGTGACGGTGTCCACCGGAATAACGTACGACCGGGAGAACATCGAGAAGTGGATATTCTCCGGCAAGAACAACACGTGTCCGGTGACCAAGCAGGGGATTATGGACGGCGACGTCGGGGAGTTGACTCCGAACATCATTCTCCGGCGGTATATCCAGTCGTGGTGCACTCTCCACGCGGCGCACGGCATCGAGAGGTTCCCGACGCCGAAGCCGCCGGTGAGCCGATCCCAGATCGCGAAGCTCCTGAGCGACGCCCAGTCGCCGCAAATGCAGGCGGAGTGTCTCCAGCGCCTGCGGTCCATCGCGTCCGAAAGCGAGGCGAACCGCCGCTGCATCGAGAGCGCCGGCGCCGCCGCGTTCTTGGCGTCGATAATCATCAACAACAACAACAGCGATGAAGCCCTAAGTTTACTCCACAACCTAAGATTATCCGAACAAAGCCTAAAATCTCTCGCCGGACAAGACAACCGATTCATCGAATCCTTAGTCCGATCCATGCAAACCGAAAACTACGAATCTCGAGCTTTCGCAGTAATGCTTCTAAAATCAATCCTCAAAGTCGCGGAGCCATTGCAGCTGACAGGCTTGAAGCCTGCATTCTATCTCGCAACAGTGCAAATCCTGAAAGACTCCATATCCGAGAAGGCCTCGAAAGCCGCACTGCACATTCTAATCAACGTTGCTCCATGGGCGAGGAACAGAATCAAAGCAGTAGAGGCCGGAGCCACGGCGGTGTTGATCGATCTCCTTATCGAATCGACGGAGAAGAGGACATGTGAAATGATCCTAACGTCCCTGGATCAGCTCTGCCAGTGCGCGGAAGGGAGGGCGGAGCTGCTAAGCCATCCCGCCGGGCTCGCCGTCGTGTCCAAGAAAATCTTTAGGGTTTCGCATGCGGCCAGCGACAGAGCCGTCAAGATTCTGTACTCCATTTCTAGGTTTTCGGCGACGGCGGCGGTTGTTCATGAGATGTTGCAGTTGGGCGTGGCGGCGAAGCTGTGCCTAGTGACGCAAGTTGATTGTGGGAGCAAGACGAAGGAGAGGGCCATGGGAATTCTCAAACTGCATGCTAAGTCTTGGAAGAACTCTCCCTGTATTCCCATGAATTTGGCTTCTTCTTACCCATCTTCTTGATGATGGTGATGAAGAACTTATTAGATAACATAGCAATTGAAAAACAAGAGAAAATTGTGCATAGTTATTCGAGCATTTTACCCCCCAAAAAACATGAATTGAAGATTTTACAACTCCCAATTATTACAAAAGATGTGCAACTAATTAATAAATCCAGACTTTAATTTACTCTTTTATATCGATCTTGATCTTAGAAAAATTAAATTAGCAAACTTTCATATCTAACCATCTTGGAGAAAATGTGAAATAGGCCTCTAAACATTACTCAAGAAGTTAATTAGACCCTTAAATTTTCAAAGATAGTTATAATTAAATCCTTAAAACATATTATTTTAAAGTATTGAGATTCAAAAATCCGTTGGTGACCTGTAATTACAGGTCACTAGGGTTCAATCAAATCTCCCACGAGACTCTGACCATCTTCTAGCAAAAAATACCGGCGGAATAGTCGCCGGTATCGTTTGGTTGCCTTCTCCGCAAAGGAGAATGCTCTAAAATAATATGTTGGTCTCCCTTCTCCTTTGTGGAGTAGGCAACAAAACGACACTGACAACCGTTTCGCTGGTGTTTTTTGTCAGAATATGGTCGGAATCTCGCCAAAACTCTCATGACGTGTAATTATAGACCATTAACCAATTTTTGGGCATCAATACTCTGAAATAATATATTTAAGAGTTTAATTACAATGTTCTATAAAAAAAAAGTTTAATTACAACCTTTAAAAGTTTAGGAGGAATCTATTTGACTCTTTTCCCACAATCTTATTTTCATTTCTTTAATTTGTTCCTCTTAATTGAAATTCTAGTAGTTCACACCTATCTAACTTGTTAACTAATCTCAACCATTCACACATGACACTTTTTTTTTTTTTTAGAAAAAGTAAATATAGAGCTCTTTATAGATAGTAACGTCACACTCACACAATTAGCAGCTAAAGAATGCAAATTAAATTGAATTGGGTGGATGGGCAGGTCATGAAATTAGTGGAAACTTGCACTTTTGGAATTGAAACATCATTCATGCATGTTTCACGAGTAGTATGTAGTATTCTTGGCTCTAAACACAAAATGATGAATACATACAATAATTGCTACGCATTCCAACCCATTAGTCTTCATGAACATGTGGATGTATTTGTTTATTTAACATCCATGAACATGTTCACGAACACTAATGAACATGCATGTTCGCAAACATTAATAAACATGTTTGCAAACGTGTTCGTCAACATTAACAAACACTAACGAACACTTAACAAATGAACATGAACAAAATTTTCAAAAACATTAACAAACGAACACAAATACGGACAAGATTTTCAAAAACATTAACAAACAAACACGAACACGAGCATAATTTTCAAAAATCTTAATAAACGAACACAAACAACCTCTATTCATACATGTTCGGTTCGTTAACAACCCTAGTGATAGGTTTCATCCATTAACCAGGCTAAGGAAGTTTATTGAATCGGACTGCTTCAATGTATTGCTTAACTACCCTGCATTTAGTTGACATAACCAAAAGGCTATAGCTTTCTAGTTGTTGATATATTGGTTTCAGTTATAAATATATTGGCCCAGCCTTCTAATAATCAATTTTCATGGTGACCTAAATACATATAGCGGTCCATCTCATTTATAGTTATTTTAACAATTACAAGTGAAACTGTCATATATAACTACGTTCATACTACTAACATGCTAACGTGCCATACGCACCAGTACTTGGACCAATGACCGAAGACCTGTTCGTACATGTTGGCAAGTTGGATCGATACATACATTATTACTACTTGCTTACAAAACCTTTTTTTTTTTTTTTAATTTTTTATTTTATGTAATTGTGATTTTGCCTGGTAAAACAAGACATTAGACCAGTACAAGGTTAGTTCGTCAATTTTGGTACTATGAAGGTTGAAAATCTAAGACTTGGTAAGTAAACCAAAAAAATATATAGATTTTTTTTTTGACAATAAAAAAACTATAGATATAGATGTTAGTATATAGTAATCAGCAATGTTACATCATTTGGTTTGTTAAGTCGTTGATTAGTAAATTACCCACACTTTTATAATCTATTAGCATATATTGATTTAAACTATGTGTAAAAGATACCATGTCTATTTTTTTTTTTTTTTTCAAACCTATTGCGGAAAAAAGTAGGTCGTAATTGGGTAGACAAAAAAATACGCATTTTCAATATAATTTGACAATAAAAGACGCTTCTTTTTAAGTACTATTAAATTTGAGTTTGAATTCGAGCTATCAAACAAAATCTTACAATGGAGTATCATTCAAATAGCACGAGAGAAGACCTTGGTGAACATATATTTGTTGATCCATAATCATCAATTTATTTTCAATTCAATTTTTTTATATCAAATAATAAAGAAATGTACAATTTTGACCAGCTAACATTAAATGAACAATTAGAAAATTCATAATAAAGACAATATACATGTGACCCCAGTCCAAATAATCAAAGTAATGATAATGTAGTGAAGTCACTATATGTCTAAATTAAATATATTTAATTTATTTTCTTATGGCGACAAGTCTACACAGCCGAAGCCGGCGCCGGCGACATGGTCATCCTCCGATCCTCACGCCTCCGCCATCAAGTCACGCCCCAAAAGCTGACGGCGTGCAGAGGCCGGTGAACTAACTGCAAAAAATTATTTAATCTTGAAGTCTTGAATATACATATACTATCTGATAATCTTCTTTGTAATACATTTCAATTTTTATTTTTTTTAGTTTACACGAATAGTTTTGTTCATAGATGAGAATGTCGTTAAAATATTTAGGAGAACCCTTGATAAGAATTGTATCATTTTAGAAGTGTAGTACGTGTATATGCTTGGACCAATACCATTCGGTCGCCCTGAAAACAAACTTGGTACATATATATACATAACATCTCTTCTAGAATTGAGTACTTAGCTTTATAGACTTTGAGTCTCTATCTTTTTACCCTATATAATGAATGTTATATTACATTATTATTTATAGACTTTGAGTCTCTATCTTTTTACCCTATATAATGAATGTTATATTACATTATTATGTTGATGAGCGGAGGCTAAAGAGTTAAGCTCATCAGTATCTTACAATGTGATAATAACTACTATGTAAGTGTAAGAATATAAAGTTATATATTTGCTACTATCTATAACTTTTAGTATATATATAGTAATAAGCACTTAATATTAACCTATTACAAAATATTTAAATATTTCAACTTATAATACGTTAAATACTTCGTATAAATTAGTTCCTACCTTTAATTAAAATATAAGATTAAAAAATCTCATGCAAACAAATGTTTCTAGGGAACTTTGAATTTTACCTAAGAGTATTAACTACTAGTTAAATGAAAAGATCATTAAATTAAAAGAGATGACCAAATGAGTGGAGCATGATGTTCATACCAGTAAATCACAAATTTGATTCTTGCTAACACATTCTTGATCAAACTCATCGCACTAGGTCTTTCTAATGCAGTTTACCTCTCTTGTGTGATTTGCATGTTATTACATAGGAGAAAAAAAAAATAGTCCTTTGATTGGCAAATTATGCTGTGCAACCGTGTGCACCATGCATGGTGCACAATGTTGCAAAACGATGCCGTTCCAAATTTAAAAAAAAAAAATCCTTTTTCATTGTCGTTAACGGCGTTAGGCAGTTTCCTTTTGCATTCAAACATTCCATTCTCTCTTTGCAATCGCACAGTTTTGAAATTATGAATCTACTGTATTTAAATAATTATGAATCTACAATATATAAATTATGAATCTACAATATTAGATTTGTGAACATGTGATAGAGCTATATGTTCACATTTTTCGATGTTCATATTCCCAATTGTTGAACTTTGTATTCACAAATCACAGAACTATATGTTTATAATTTGATAACGATACAATTTAGAAATTATGAATCTACAGTACATAAATTATGAATCTACAGTATAGAAATTATGAATTTACAGTATAGAAATTATGAATCTACTGTATTTAAATTATGAATCTATGATTTAGAAATTATAAATCTATATTATAGATTTTATGAATCTACAGTATATAAATTATGAATTGGAATCTTGCACACCTTACATAGTGCGGCACACGTACGGTTTCACATCATAACGTTCCCTTTGATTCTAGACTAATGTTTGGATTTATTAACCATAAGGTTTAAGCTTAGCTCTTGCCCCTTAGTCTTGCTGTTTATTTTGTTATTTGTAGCACTTAGATTGGGCTAGTGAGAATAAATTACCCAAGCTTGAAAGAAAAATTAATGAAAGACTATACAGGTCTGATTCACCATTTCACCGAGTGAGGTTTCAAAGAAATGGAATCGCAAATATTGGCAATAATTAATTGGTCCACGAACCTATTTGGATCATAAACAAAAAATACATTTTTAATATATTAAAATTACATTTTTTTTATATATGAAATGCAGATGGGCTCGGTCGCGAGGAACAATGAAGAAATGCAGAGAGCCTTACGCAATGATGAGCTTGACTTGTTGGGAGTTTCTAACATTGTGAGGATCAACCATTGATCTTTGATATTTTTCTCTCCATTTTCAAAAAAATATATATTATATGAGTATTGAAAGTACATTATTTTGTATACTATCAAATAATGTATATTTAATATACAATAATGTACTTTTAGTATATTAAAAATATATCATATATTCATGTTCCACACAAAATTTTTCCAAATGTTAGGCCTCAGACTTCTTATAAGTATGTTTTAGCATGCATACTCTCTTCAACAATGCATACCACACATATAACCCTATTGATCACTACTTAGGAATGACAATTTCTCTTAAACTTTATGCGGATCGCGGTTCCCTATTCGAATTGGGACAAGAATGAGAATAGAAATTAAAGGAACGGGATGGGGATATTGCGTCTCATCATCTCACACCGTCCTTGATACATTAATTTTTTAAAAAAAATTATATATATTGGTGAAATTATGAATAATTAAAAACTTAAGTACTAGACTAATATTTGAACCTGCCGGGTGCTCAGATGGCACCCGAATTGGATTTCCATATGGGAGGTTGTGAGTTTGAGCCTTAAAAATTCTCCATATTGATGAAAAATGAAAATTATTTCTATTTCCCATGATAAGATCACGAGAATGGAGATAAGGGGTATACTCTACATCCCATGTCGTTGTCATCCCTACACACAACATCATCCCAACCGCAACCATGCTCTCCTCTACCAAGTTTTTGCAAGATTAACTCACATTCTACGTGGACCCATTCCCATTCTAATATGTTTTTCCTAACAAATATAATTGACCCATCACTTAAATGGATGATTCTATTCAACTTGATTGAGAGGGCTACAAACATACCCCAAGTACAAATGTGGTCCAATTGATAGACAATCTACCCCAAAATATTAAATTGTCAATGCCGGTTGTGCAAAAACAATAAATAATGAAATGTATATCCTTCTATTTATTGTGTATTCAATACAAAAGAAACCCCTGTAAATTGACATATGGTGCCTAATTAATATATTCAACCAACCAACACATGTAAGACACTCCAATAACTAAAAAATATATATAATCACAACAAAAGAATACTAGCCGCCGCCGCCGCCGCCGCCGTGCGAAGAAGAAAACAACCCGGCCTGACGAAGAAAAGTAAGAGTAAAGAATAATGAAGTTTGAGTTTGAATGATAATAATCTCATTTCCATGGGCGGATTGAGAGAACGACGATCAAGATGATGATGAGCAAGAGTATGATGGCGAAGCAAGTCCACTTGCGGGTGTTCTTCTGGTGCTTCCTGGCGGTGAGAAGCTGATCGGCGCCGTGGCGGACGATGCTGTTAGCTCTGTTGACCTGGCTCTCAATGTCGTCCAGCTGCTCCCCCTGCGTCTCCACCAGCACCGCCATGTCCAAGAACACCTGGTGCAGCTCCTTCAGGTTCCTCTCCACCTCCTTCACCGCCTCGTGCCGCTCCTGAATCTCCATCACCGTGTTCATCACCTCCCCTCTCCCCTGCTCCTGTATCGCCTTCTGCATGAACTGCATGCAATAACATTTTTGTTATTATTAGGATTAGTGATAGATTGTGAACAAAGATGTAAGATCGAGCTCTGATAACCCCAAGAGTTACACTTAATATGGTGGGTTTTTCGTTGTGGGTGCAGAAATATGTTCACATGGATAGCTACATCAGTTTTTGGGTGTTCGATTGTGTATAAGAACACAAGATCGAGTCTTAATAGTCACTTTATCTGTTTGTCTAGGAGACTGGAAGTTACATCTAATGTATTGGACTCCTTACAGATGTTAAGCAATTAAATACGTGTCTTTTCACCTAATAGATCTTTAAATTATTGCATCTTATAAATAGAATTTTACCTATTTGTAGACAAATATAAAACAAATATTTGGGCAATATAGGTAAGTTAGGATAAATGGTTCATACCGTCTCGCTTTGGCCGGTGGAAATAAGCTTGTCCAGGACCTCCTCGTCGGGGTTTTCGCCGGTGACGGTGTAGTATCTCCGCTGGACGGTTTCCCGGTACTCGGATTCGATCTTCTGGCGGAGGTCGTTGAACTGGTTCATGTACTCCTTAAGCTTGTTCCTCAGCCCATTGACTACCGACGTTCTGGTCCGGTCGGAGGAGCTGCCGGGGCCGCAGCCGTAGACTTTCCGGTTGGCGGCGTTGGACTGGTCCAATTCCTCGAGGCGGTGTTTGATGAGCTTCGCCTGCTTGAGCGCCAGGGAGACGTCTTTGTCCATCCTCGCCCGGAGCTCTTTCACCTGTTTAGCGTTGTGCACAGTCTTGCTCTGTTCGTGGGCGGTTTTCAGGCTGCCGTAGATTTTCTCGATGTCCTTAAGGTCGTCCTTGACAGCCTCGACATCCTCGAAAAACTTGGCCAGGTTGGCTCCGCCGCCGTTGGCGGCGGCGCTCATCTCGATGGTGTGGGATTCAGGCGGCGCCGGAGACGACCCGCCGTTTTCCCGGGGCAGAGAGAAGGATCGTGAAAGAAGATCATTCATTTCGATCAAAATCAGCTAGCAGAACTCACCGGTTTCAAGAAAATGAATCGGAGAAGATTAAGAAGAAAAGATTGGATTTTGAAGATAGAATTTCGTTAGAGAGAAATGGAAGATAAAAAGTGATAAAGAAAAGGGAGACGCGGTTCAATCTTGAATGCATGGTGGCTTCTGGAATTAGTAAACACCAAAGACCAGTCAAGATAGGCCGTCTAAGCTGCTTCTGTTCACGCGATAGGGAAGGAATTTTTATATTTTTGTGAGAGAAAAGTCGATTTTATGTTAATTTAAGGTAAGTTAAATTGTTACACGACTTCTAAAAATAGAAATATAAAAGTATAAGAAAATAAAGTGACGTGTTCAATTTAAGTTATAACTTTAATATTTGATTCTGAACCAAATTATTACAACTCAGTTCTCTATTATTAATTGATAAGTGAATATTAATCTTTGACTAAATGGGAGAAATTTGTTATGATTTAGGATCTCTTAATCTTGAAATTTAATCTTAACAAACATAAGAGTGACTTAACCACTATTTTCTAGATTAGGGTGTTCCTTTCCCCGATATTTCCAAAAACAAAAATTGATGCCGGAATGAGAAAACGCGTTAGGGGAATATGGAATAATTATCATTTCTTTATATATATAATAATGCTTAATCCTTAAGCTGCGTATAGCTTTAGACTTTGAAGAAACAAAGAAATTTCCCACTTTGACGTTTCAGCACTACTGCATATCGACAAGGTTCATTTAGTTGTAGCTTTCCATTGAAGAAATCTATATATGCTCAATTCTATAAAGGAATATATAATATAATCAAATCGCAAGAAGTAAACAAACCCAGAAAGGAAAAGGTTCATAAAATCCATATTTATGTCAAATACAATACCAGAAATCACACATAAGTTGTATCAATCTTTTACAACACACCAAGTTTTTCTGCAAATCTGCAACATCATATCATGAACCCAATATCTGGATCTTCATGATATATGTATTATTGGAGATAGGATTATGTATGTATATATAAGATGAAAAAGAGGTTGCATTCTGGGTGAAGAGCCTCAAACCAGTGCCCAGATTGTTGGGTGTAACAGGGATGATAGAGGCAGCCAGAATGCTTGTAAGCCAAGGATGATTTGCCAACACAGATAGAGAGATAGCCAAGGATGAACTCCAAGATTGATAGCCAAGGATGAGTTACCTAATGGTTGCAACCAAATGGGAATAAGAGCAGAGGTTTCGGGTTTGGTTGCAACGAGGACAGGGTTGTGTCCCGAGTACGGGACAGCAACCCGATCCTCCATCTTTAATTGTCAAATTTTGAGGTTGCAGCAGCTGTCTGCTGCTGCAACCATCCACTTCCCGGGGGCGGTGAGAATGCTGTGTCCAGCATTCATCAGGAGGCGGGTGGTGGTGGTCGGGAAGGGATCGAGGTCTTGATCGTCCCTCGAGAACAGGCTAGTCACCTCTAAACCGTAGTTTTGAGACCCCGGGGAGGAGCTCGGGTTCTGCAGCACTTCAGAAACCTGGGATCCAGTGTGCCCTTCTGCTGCACTCGAGTCCTTGCAGCTGCCCTTGGCGTTGTTCCCCGTGTTCAGGAACCGCCCACCGCAACCCCGGGGGCGACGCATTGCGTGGAGGTGCCGGGACAGGTGCAAGTATGGCTGTCAAACATGGCAACAAGGAAATAAGTGAACACATACAATTGTCTCATCTGCAGAATAAGGTTATCCCCATCAAAACCTTCTTACCTTGCGGGATTTAGGCACAACGTTCGCCATTTCAGCCTTTGCACGGGACTTCCTGCGCCTAATTATCCCATGGTACTGCTTAGGATTCACGAATATCGGGCCTTCATTCGACGCCAAATTCAGTGGCAGCATGATTCGCCCCTAAACATCATTTAACAGTCCAAGTATATCATACCAGTATGGCCTATTTGCAAGAAACTAGCAAAACTTTTTATAAAAGGCCTCGAGATCAATTCCCTTTGTATCTAAAACAAAAACATAACTAAATAGGCATAAAGTATCAGATAATGAAGACTACATACCGCAACCTGAGGTCCATAAGCTGTATATAACCTATAGCACTGCTCTCCATAAGGATACTTGGCACATATCTATGTCGTTTAAACGAAAATAACATTGGTAAGACGAGAAATACACTTGCTGGCTACACTACGTTTTTTTTTTTTAAATATTACGAATAAACTTACCAGAGGTTGGCCAAATCCAAACTCAAAGGGACCTCGGTATTCCACACTATCTGGCTGTGCAGAGGCTGCACCTTGCACTTGCGAAAACTTCTGCACATTTGCTAATGATTTGCAATCGCCTGTGTAATTAGTACTTTAAATTATAAATTTTCTTTCTTTCTTTTTGATAACTAGTGGTTCTTAGCATTCAAAGAAGTCCCCGGGAGGTGCTCAAAACGCTCTACAGAAAAACTATGCAGAAGGCCAGTTCAGAACTGTTGAGCATATAACTATTAATGTGCAATCCAACTATCAGTTTAGACTTTTAGTTGAGATGGAGCACATGCTTCAATTAGAACGAGCTTATGAAGTCAATGAGTTCATCAAATGATTGTATATAACCAACAGTCATATTTGTGTTTTTGTAGTTTCCACAAAGACAGACATAGCTGCAATGGAAGAAAAAGATGGAAACATAGGCAAATAGAGTTCATATCCTAAACTCCTAAAGGCTCGAGCTTTATTTAAACACAATTCTTCTAAAGGTTTCTCGACTCACATCGAGCTCACAACAATGGAATCTTCACAACTAAAGCTCGAAAAGCAAATTAAAGACAGAAAATTACCAGGGACAATAGCGAATTGGCCTGTGTTCCCCTTCGGTATCTGCTGTTCCACAACACGTTCGACCTGCTTGCTGGCTATGGCTTGATCCCCAGATAAAGCCATCAAATGCCCCAAAGTCTCAACACAAGAAGCAGATTGCACTGTGAGCCCACCCCACCAAGGCAGTGTCGTTGGCGAATTCGCAATGGGGTTTTGGACTATCCCTTCATTCTCTTTGGAAATTACACTATGCATAGTCATATCCGCCCTTCAAATCACTTACCAATCCACAAATCAATGGCTACAAACCACTCTGCAATACTACAAGAATAACACTTCTTAGCAATTCCTCAACCAAAACTCTTGACTAGCACTACAGATTTCCAATGGATTACAAGTTACAGAACAACAGCAAATTAAACTCTTCCAGAAATGGGGAAAAAACTGGCAATTACTTAGAGACCAGAAAAGGGTATGTACTAGGTACTATGTAGTTGGTAAAGAACAAAACTTTACACGGAATATAACCAAAGACCTTAAATTCTACTCTACCACAAACCTGAAATCATTACAAGAAGAAGAAAAAAAACAATTTTTTTGAACCAATTAAGGGAGATGGTGAAGGGAAGCAATCTTCTTGAAAATGAAAGACTGGAGAGATTAACAACAGTGACAGTGATACATACCCAGCAAGATAGGAGAAGAGAGGGGAGAAGGAACTGTACGGTCAGAGAGTGAAATCCCATTCGCCAGGAGCCATGTTGGGTATAAGTGCAAGCAAGAAATAGGGAGAGAGAGAGAGAGAGAGAGAGAGAGAGAGAGAATGGAAATACTGGGCAATATAATGGCCAATCAGATACAGCTTTCTTGTTCCAATCACTGTTCTATTTGTTCCCTTTCTAATCCCCCTTTTGTTTCATCAACTTTAGGATAATAACATGATGAATATAATCTTGAAGAAATTTATAAATTTCATGTTATGCGATATCATATCACACTTTATATAAAGTTGACATTCTTTATTCTTCTGTTATTAATGTTTTCATAAACCGTCCATTATATTTTTCACCATCTTCATCACTTCATAGTAAATATGCCTTAGTCCTTAGATCATTAATTAGTTTATTAATCCATCTTAGAGCTGCACTTCCTTTTCCCTGAATTCTTTATTCTAAAACTGGAGCACTCACTCACTCTCTCCTCGAAAGAGGTGATCGAGTGAATAAAATATGATTTTTGTATTTAAAGGTCACGAGTTTAATTATTGTCAATATTCTCTGTATACCGTCTTTTTATTGTAGTTTATCTCTTCTGTGTGATTTACAAGCTATTACACAAGATCAGAGTTTATTCCGTACAAACCCTTGAAAAGCAAAACACCTTGAAGTAGTTGTATTTATGTTGTTCAAGGGATAAGTATGGGGGATCTTGGTCCTTTCTATTATTAGTGGGTGAAAAGGGTAATTATGGAGATCTGGGAACTCTTTTTGATGAATCAAACTATCAAAGTACTATTTGGAGTAAAAATCAAGCTTTAATTATGCAACTTGCATATGTCTTTTTGTTTTTTTAAACCTTAGTACTTGGTGATAAGCACAAGTGGAATGCAATTAGAAAGATTGGGAATGTCAAAAACTTTTGGGGAGAATAAGGTGGTGCTTTGTGGATTACTATTTACTATTCCTATAAAGGCTTCTAAGTTGGTCCCATAATTATTCACTATAATTAGTTTATATATTGGTTGATCACTATCAATAGGGTTAAAATGTCACTTTAAGATACGACAACTTATATAATTTTTTATGAACAAGTTGTTTGATTTAATATTTATTGTTTTTTTTTGTTAATAAAGTTTTAGATGACTGGATATAAGGCTAACTGATTTATGATTTATAGGTGCACACAAGGTTTTTGGAACAAGATTCTGAGCACTCGAAAGAATCTTATAGTAACATATTCACACATTTTAAAGGGTAAAAATATATTAATATTAGTTCAAACTCATATTTATTTGACAAAAGACTCTTTTAAAGCTTTCTCAAGTTTTATTTTCAACTTTATAAGTATGCTTTGAAAGTCGATTTCTCATTCATCCAATATTACTGTATAAATATATAGAATTCATCACCTCACTTATGAGAATACAGATACACGTTTAGTCGGTCCAAATTGGTGATAAACCCACTTAAAGCCCACGGGGTATGCTCTGTGCGCACAAGACCAACACGAATCTCAGCAATTCCTCTCATTTTTCTCTCATGGGGCCCACAAATAACCTTACCTTGCACGAAATTAAAATTGCTTTTCTCCCCTTCTCTATCATCCACCTTACCATGGGCCATACAAAAAACCAACAAAAAGTCATTAGTGCGGATGCTCTAATCTCTCAGCAATCTTTGATTTAAAGAAAAGTTTCCAATACGCTTTAGGTGAAATTCGCTTTGTGATCCTACCAGGCAAATGATCACAAAGAGACTAACCATTTCAAGTCAAGAAGATTAATAGATAACTTTTATACGAAAAGTCGAACTTGAAATTTAATGCACATAAAATTTACATTTGTGTGAACACTGAACATGCATGTGTGATTGAACACACCATTGGACACCATATATGCTTTTAATGAGATGGAAAGAGAGAGTGACAACTCTTGATATCTCCAGCAGACGTACGTGTGGACGTGGATTATATTCCTGCATTCATGGAATTGCAACGTCCATAGTTGATTGTGTTTGAAACTACCGAAATGCTTTTGTCTTTTTACATTTTGGAATCTGCCAACTCTATCATCGTACCAAAATCTACTCATCTCTTCCTAGTACATCTTCATCGTACCAATTTTACAGGTGTGATTAAAAAAGAAAAAATGCAAAAGAAGAGAACAACGCTGGTTTTAAGAATAAGTGATTGCCCTTCTCCGACCTTTACTGTCCAACCTGAAAGCGGACAACTAATGCGTTCCACTTATTGAACAGGGTTCTATGGTTGGTCCGTGACCCCTGGATGCCGAAGGCGTCCTTGGGGTGATCTCGTAGTTCGGGGTGGAGATGATGGGGTCGGTCCATGGATTTTCTGAGAAAAGGAAAAAAAGAAACTAAAAATACTTGAAAAATGTCATTAACGCGCTTGGTTGCGCCTGGCTGGGTGCTAGGTTGCGTTTCATGCTATCAGAGCGCGAAAATCAGGAAAGTTGGTGGGTCTCACAAGTTTGCTAAAAATCAAATATAATTTTTTTTTTCTTATACGTAAATTTGCTTTTCTCAAAAACCTACACAAAATCTATAGATGAGGATGTTTAAAGTTAAAATTTTTCATCTTTTGCGAACAAATTAAAGGTTAAGCCAACATTTGTATACTGCGTACCAGCCCACCAATGCTCTCATCCAAACACTCCAATCCAAATCTAGAATATATACTAAAGTTTAAGTTTTTTTTTTTTTTTTTTTGGCAATAATTCCAGACATTTCTTCCAAGGTGAAGCATTATATACATCATCATCATCGGCATCTTGGATTTTCTATTTGTAATTTATTATTGTGCCCACATCGATCATTATGTTTGAAGAAGGAATAAGTCATTAAGTCCTTGTCGTCGTCGTCATTATATTTAGGGTTGGCTCCTTGTTTAAGTAATTTTAGTTCGTAATAATCGTTGTCACTGTCGGATTTAAGGATTTTCAAGAAACATATGCTATATATAGAATCATTTTTACTAAGGTTTATGGTTCCATTTTTTGGCCCAATCCAAGGAAACGTAAGTGAAATAGTTACATTTTTTTTTAGTGATAGTGATAGAAGATGGAAAATTATATTGCGAATCATGGTTCACATTATAAGATAAATTACAGATAATATGGACTATGATTCTGGTACTAATTGATGGAAGATTCATCAATTAAAAGATTACTTAATATGTTTTTTAAATAGTTTTGTAAACTTAGCATGTATTGAGGCATTCAATCAAATAATGTCACATTATCAAATTGAATATATTCAAATTTATTACACATATTATACTATACAAGAAAGTAAAAATTATATGAATAAATCTTATATAAGATTGTGCTAGGTGAGACATGTAATATTTCGTATGGGTCTATAGAAATATATTATATTTTAACAAAATATGATCAAATATGTCCTCTAACTTTACACGATAAGACAATTAGGTCTCTGAACTTTTGAAAGTTGCAATTAAATACTTCAACTTATTACACTAGTCAAATAAGTCTAAATTATTGATTACCGGTATGCACTTCGCCGTTGGCTATTGTTGGATGCTGTTGGCTATTGTTGGATGCCGTTGACTATCAACATTGCTATGGAGATGACCTCCATGATCAATAAGCAAAGTGTCGTGACCAACCCAAACAATTAGTGTAGCACCGTCACATTAAACCTGACATCAGAGAACCCAGCATAGCATGTGTTTATTACTTCGACACTATAACTCTATAAATAGAGACATCTTTCAGCTAGTACAATGATATGATTTCTTAACTTAAAATACTTATCGACCATCATCGATCTTTGACCACTGACCACTACAATACTTTTTTTCTTATACTACTTTGTTTATATCTATTGTATTCTTTTTCTTGCATACATAGCATATAGATCATGTACTTATTACTTCTATCAATGAGTATTGATAAATATATATGTTTTCTAAAATGAAAATAGAAAACATGTATGGAAAGTAGCGAATGGAAAAGTAAACGGGTTGGGTAAGTTTGGGTGAAATTTTGGTCATTTTCTAAATTTTCTTGCAAGTGGCTCCAAAGTCCTTGCTCATGAAATTGACAAGCTGCTTGCCTTTTCTTCTCACTTTCTTTGATGATGTGTGGATTAGCAATTTCAAGTTCTGTATCAATAATGCAATGTTTAGTGGATTATTATATAATATTATTCTTGAGTGCAAAAAGCGAAATCTCTCACCCTCAATGATTGTGAATAAGTTAAATAACGGTAAAACGACATCTTAGAAACTATCCACAAAATAGTAAAATTTGCACTCTGTGACTACAATCTTTAATCCAAAAACCAACCGAGCTACCTGTGAGGACTAATATAGTAATATTATGAATTAATCAGAATATGCAAATTAACAAAAATAAAAATAAAATAAAAAGAAGAGTATAAGTGTAATATTAGTATATTACACAACAAAAAATTGCACTGGATTAACCAAACTTAGATTATGTGGTCCATCAGCTCAAAGCAATCCACTCTTTATGCAAATCACACCTTTTCCTATGCTCCTTTTGAACATTTCCCACTCCAACTTGAACACAATATCTTTTAAAAAATAAAATTATTAAATTAAATACAAACAAAATAAAGTGGCAGCCTACATTGAATGGTGGTGGGCGATGACGTGTGCCACGTGTCGTTACGTAGCAGGGGGGAAGGATAGTTGGAACGCATGAAGTGGCAACAAGTGGAATCCCGTAAGCAAATACGTGCCAGAGTGCGCATACAAAAAGGTTTGTTGTACGTATTTCTGTGTCTTTTGTGCTTTCATTTGCTTATCTGCATCAGATTTAGCCTAACTTTTCTGCAAAAAAGCTTTTTGGCTTAGCAAACATCCACCATTGGTCTGGTCTGGATAGGTTAAATATCTGTACTAATATATTACAAGTATATGCTTTAAAGCTAATAATACATTGGTTGATATATGTCACACTCAAATGAGTATAAACCCCATCATCTAAGATTTTACGTTCCCTTTATATAATGTAACATTTAGTAGAAATTACGATGACAAAATATGGGTATGTAATGTATTTTCAAACTATAACATAAATTCAGTGGGTGAAACATAATTTTCATACTTAAAAGTAATAAGTTCGATCATCACACAAGATCTTCCTAGTGCAATTTACTTTTGTTGTATGATTTACGAACTATTACATAACAAAGGAGCTTATC